ATATTATTAATGTGCGTCAACCATTTAATCAAACACAGAAACTAGAGAAAATATTTAAAAAAAATTATAAATGTGCATCAACTAATTATCGTGCTAAACATCTTTGTTAATTTTGTTTTAACTCAGGGAAGCAACTAAAATAAATATTAAAATAAAAACTATTTTGGTTCTAAAAACTTTTTTGATACTTTCTCTGAAAGTGAGCATAGCTCAAAGTATAAATATCTGTATGTCAGCTAAGAAAAATATGCTTTTGTTATTACTTGGCAAATTAAGTTCGTAAAAATGTTGGTCTGTTTTGATTTCATTTGGAAATATCAACAGCTACCTTACTGTCGCAAATATTTGAAGAACACGAGGGGAGAGTGTCATTTTACATGTTTAAGTATTACCCATTTCTTCTACTAAATTTCCATTTATGTAAAATGATACAAAACGATGTGTATTCCTGTGTACTGTTACGCACAAATACACACAAGTTGATGATGATGACAAAGACAGGTTAAGGAAAAATATTTTTTTTGTGTAGTCTGATCGTTAAGGTTTTGATTTGTATTAATTTCATCGTTGTTATATAGTGTTGATTATTTACAGTTAATATATCTCAGAGTATTATTTATTTATCTCAAATAATATTGCCATAAAATATTTAATCTGGTAATTAGATTGTTGGCAGGTGGTAAACCCTGGAAGTTATTAATTTAATATTTCTTTCTTTAAAATTAAAATAGTTTTGTATGCATGTATTTATTTACTTATAGCCCTTTCCAACCCAGTTACAACCCAGTTACAATTATCATTTCTGCCTTTACATTCATAAAAATAAATAACTCGTGTTGTCGTATTTCAGAGAAAGCCACTTCAAACCACAAACAAATAGCCATTAAATGTGAAAAATATTAATAACAAACGTAGAATGTTAAGTAATGTTTTATTAAAGAACTAAGTATAATACTATAAAAAGACTTTTTAGGGCTGTGAAATGTTTTTTTAATAAAGCTTGTTTATTGTGTGACAAATTTAACATTGTATGTTTAATTGTTAATATTTTTAACATTTTACCTATGCGCAGGTGCCATTTAATTTATTTAACCATTGTTGCTTTGTTGCAGGTCTTAGAACAAAGAACCCAACTAACTTATTGCTTTGTTAGCAGGTCTTAGAAAAAAGACCCCAACTAACTTATTGCTTTGTAGCAGGTTTAACAACAAAGTTCCAAGCTAAATTATTGCTTTGTAGCAGGTTTAACAACAACAGATCCCAGCTAAATTATTGCTTTGTAGCAGGTTTAACAACAAAGACCCCAACTAACTTATTGTTTTGTTAGCAGGTCTTAGAACAAAGATCCCAGCTAACTTATTGTTTTGTTAGCAGGTCTTAGAATAAAGATCCCAGCTAACTTATTGCTTTGTTAGCAGGTCTTAGAAAAAAGACCCCAACTAACTTATTGCTTTGTAGCAGGTTTAACAACAAAGTTCCAAGCTAAATTATTGTTTTGTAGCAGGTTTAACAACAAAGATCCCAGCTAACTTATTGTTTTGTTAGCAGGTCTTAGAATAAAGACCCCAGCTAACTTATTGCTTTGTTAGCAGGTCTTAGAACAAAGATCCCAGCTAAATTATTGCTTTGTGGCAGGTTTAACAACAAAGATCCCAACTAACTTATTGCTTTGTAGCAGGTCTTAGAACAAAGATACCAGCTAAATTATTGCTTTGTAGCAGGTTTAACAACAAAGATCCCAACTAACTTATTGCCTTGTAGCAGGTCTTAGAACAAAGACCCCAACTAACTTATTGCCTTGTAGCAGGTTTTAGAACAAAGACCCCAACTAACTTATTGCCTTGTAGCAGGTTTTAGAACAAAGATCCCAGCTAACTTATTGCTTTGTACACACTAATTTATGTTGCTAGCGTATACCAGTAAATAGTCACGATGAGTCCTGATTAACTTTAGGTAGTTCTTAAAAGTTTAGCTATCAGGACTCCCACAACACATTGCAGAAGGAATTGTAGTTTACAGTTAAGTTCTTACTAGTGGTTCTTGTTAATGAAACCATGTCTCGAGGATATTCAAAATACAGTAGTTGTGCTGGCTCCTTAAATCGTAATTTTCGACAAAACTGAATGGGTTTTTTTTTTTCCATAAGCATTCATTGTTCATGCTAATCCTTCTTTCACTTTATCATTAAAGATTTTTTTTGGCAGGTAAAATGTATCAAAGTGTTTATCAAATGAAATGTTTTTACTAGTTTTGACCAAATGGTTCAACAGTTTCGAAACGAAGAAATACGATCTGAAAGTAAAACTTTTCCCAAAGAAGTTTATATTAGATTATAATTTTTCAAAACTTAAAATTTTCTTGTAAAAAAAAAAAAAAAAAAAAGTAAATATGTTCTTAAGAATGTTCTTGATTTAATGCTAAGGTAAACAGAAGTGTGACGACCTCATTTAATTTTCTAAGTTGAAGAGAAACAACTGGCGTAATGATCAGAATTATAAAACTTTTAGTTGGTACGCTTTCTAGATCTTCTTGTGTAAAATATTGAAATTTTATGGTCAAAAGAAGATTAACACACTGTGTCATCAGTGTTAGAGCAAACATTGCTAAATTCAGTAGTTCAAGTTTTTATCTGAAGCATGTTTCTTGGTTTCAGGGTCTTGAGATTGTGAATCCACAAGCAGCAGAGAAGAAAGTTAGTGAAGGAAATGTTAAATACTTCTCGAACACAGCTGGATTCTTAAGAGTTCAGAAGGAATAATCCCCCCCCCCCCCATTTTTTGACTTTATTTTTATGAGTAAACGATTTCATTCTCAAATGAGTTTTGTACATAAGTGGAAAAACTAAATAAAGAATGTATAATGGAATGAATACCATTTTTGGCTTTTTTTCATTATAAAACATTTTTAACTTTGAAATTCATACTTGATTTTGTGAAGGGTTTTATTTCACAAGCAGTTTTTTGTTTTTAAAGCAAAAACTCCAGAATGCTGTAATATTGAAAAGTTTCTGTGATATCGCTGGTTTTGATGTGAAATACAACATTTTCTGCTAGTTATAGATCACAATCCTAGTTTACATAGTTTCAATGTTTTTAAAATTGTAGCTTTTCAATTACTCAACCTGGGTTTAATAACTGTTCATTGTAGGGGTTAGAACAATATTAAATTGATCATACCATAAAAGTTATTATATACTTTGTCAAGTTCTATGTATAGGCCACAATTCCTTACAGTAGGTGTCTGTGACTTGTTGGAGATAAATTTCAACAATAAACAAACAGAACACAATCCATTTGTCTTAAAATATTATATTAAAACAAGTCAAATGTATATACAAATTTTCTTATATACTTTGTCAAGTTCTATGTATAGGCCATAATTCCTTACAGTAGGTGTCTGTGACTTGTTGGAGATAAATTTCAACAATAAACAAACAGAACACAATCCATTTGTCTTAAAATATTATATTAAAACAAGTCAAATGTATATACAAATTTTCGTTACACTGTTGGTTATTACAGTTGTATCCAGCTTTAAATAATTGTCTCTTTTGTCACACAGTCTGGTTTAATTTGTTTAGAACACAATAGCCAAAACGAATTATGTTTCTCTACTCTGTTATTACAATACAATCTGTGATAATTTCACTTTAAAAATTGCTACTATATGCCCTTTATAGCTAAACTCACAATCACTCAGTCTAGTTCGATATATCAAACTTAATTTCCTATGTGTATTTATACCTTGACAGAGGTATAGAATGTTCCACACACTACCAGATATTATGATGCAATAATACTCAAGTAAAACAATAAGAAAAACTTAGAAGGTTCGAGTAACATGACACAATAATATAACAATCTTCAGTTAATGACTATTGAACTACACAACGTATGATTTGTTAACATTTATGTTAACAAACTTGCAATAAACTATCGTCTCTAAAAATAGCTAAATTTAACACTATCTAAATCATAACTCTCACAGTAAACCTAAGCTAAATCAGTCATGTATATCTAACAACTATATTGTTTTACATTGTTTCACTTCCATATTTGCTTCCATTTTTAAGTGCATATTGTTTGTCTCAAGTCATACCTTCCCACAAACACTCAAGTTTTCATTTTCACCTTCAGCCTGAACAAGAACAATTATTCAAAACATCGCTAGCTGAAATAAATTTGTTTATAATTCAGTGTTTTTTGGTTTGATTTCTTCTGATGATAAATTAACAAGATGTGTAGCTACCTCTTTTGTTTGTTTGTTATTATACTATACTTAAGACATTGTGATTGAGTGCTTAACTCAAGTTTCAGAAAGAAAGATGTTTTTTTTTAAATATTAAACATACTTTACAGAACAAAATTTCTAACCTGTACACAGTGGTAAGCAAATGTTTAGTGTTCAAGAGCTCAAGGCAATTGAAATATTCTGATGGAGAGAGTGGGGACACCAGTTTAGACTGTCAAGAATCTATGTTAAAAAACCCAGATGAAATGAAAACAACGTATTAACAACGTACATGTTGCTGAATTCCTCCAAATCATTTCTAAAATGAGTTTTACTCGTGCATCTACTGGCCAGTTAAGTTTATTAAAACCTCCTCAAGTATTGGGTTGGTCTACCTTTTGTCTGGACTTAGCGTAGGATAGACTCCACATGTGTCTTACTTGGTTCTAGCCCGAACCTCAAGGAGTATATAGTCTGTAGTTGGCTCATAGATGTCATCCTTTTATTCTGTATTTTAATTACTTTTATAAAATGTTTAAACTTTATAAATATTTGTACCTAATAATCTAAAGTAGTGGGTGAAAGGAATAATAAAAACATAAGTTTCGAATTATTTCGGAATGTTGTGCTCAGCTACATAAGAGTTACTTGTGCATAGCATTTATTAATTTTGAACTTACAGACTAGAGGGAAAGTAACTAGTCAACAGCACTCACTGCTAACTTTGGGACTAGTCATACCTTTTCGATAATGTGTTTCAACAATCATTCTTTACGACAAATGTCTTCAAAGTACAGAGTGCATTTTTTTAGCAACAGGTCGTGAAACATAAGTCCCCGAATTTGTAGTTCAGGTACACTAACCCTTATACTATGCCCGTCTAAAGTTGTAATTGAAGTAATGCCCAAAAAATTACATGTGCAGTGGCCACTCAAACATGAACTCCCTTCCTCTCCAAAGAACAAAATAAACAACAAACGTAAGAACGTACTCCCATTCGTTCGAAACACCAAAAGAAGAAGAAGAAAAAAAACCCAGGTGATGTGATATAAACTTCTTACTCCTGAATTTCTTCTATGATTGCTTTCTTCTCTGTTTCAATTTACCTATTCTTTATTGTTATTCTGTATTTGCTAATATCAAGATTCCATGCTTTTCAACTCTTACCAACGGCCGCACCGTCCTTGTATTTCACATCTTATAATTCACAATTTTTTGCCTGATGAAGATCTGCAATAGAAGTTCAAAACTCGATAAATAGATGCAGTATACAAACAATGCTTGGAGACGGCTTGAATGGGTAACGAATAAAAACTTTAATATTAGTTTAACATAACAGCAAATGTACGACGTTTCGACACGGTTTTGTCATCATCAGGTCGAAACGTTGTACATTTGCTGTTATGTTAAACTTATATTAAAGTTTTTTCAATTACCTATTCAAGCAGTCTCCAAGCATTATTAGTCTCAAAGTGGGTTACTCGTCATCGAATTTGAATTCATCGCGGCAGTATATAAACGTTTTCCAACCCAGTGGATTACAACATAAATACCAAACCCAAAAAACAATCAAAACTACATTTTACCAATAAATGGATGGACCGATTAGAAAATTCTGGAAACGAACATATTTACACTTTTTTGTAAGTTGTAATAACATTTTAGTCGTATTACTACAGTCAGTGACATAAGAATACTTTTAAGATCACAATTACCAAAGAACCGCTCCAATGTTTGATACTGAGTGAATGCAAGTAAAAGAAAACAGCAAAAATACACGTTTTATTGAACATTAACAACGAATGAATCGCAATATGACTCACCCAATAAAAATAATAATGTTGATTAGATTTTTTCCAATAATTTTTGTACGTATATTTCTGGAGAAGGAGGTAACTATCTCATTTCTTCACTTCCATTGTAGTTACGCTAATGTAATATTCACAATACTATACAAATTCCAGCAAACCTATTCCAATAGATAATATTTTCTATCTGGTTGATTGTATCGGATTAATTGTCTGCTTATTGTTAAGCGCAAATCTACAACAGGCCATTTGTGCTGTGCCCAGCAAGAAGAAGACTAATTTTTAGCGGCATTAACCCAGAGACTTACCGGGTTAAATTAACCTATAATGTGCTTTGGGAACCAGGCATAGCCTGATAATTAAGGCGCTTGACTCGCAATCTGAGAGCCGCGAATTCGAATCTCCTGACACCGAACATGCTCGTCCTGTATGGTTACTGACTGGGATAGCTACCCGGGTATTATATTCTTGGCTTACAAAATTACCGCCCCACACCTAATTCGATGGGACTAAAGTTGAAAATAACGTTATTAATATATTTATACACACACACGAATTTCTTGTTTTTCATTATACTAAATTGCTTATATTTTCTATGTAACCTTAATGTTAATTCTCTGGTGGTGGTTTTTTTTTACAGTATATATATGTATTTAATTTTTATTATTTCTGCTTAATTTTTAAAATTAATTTTGTAATCAAAATATTTTCTTTGTACGTTAGATGACGCGTTAGCTAATATGGCGCATTCCATTACAGGAAGTGTGTACTAGATACTAGTAAAACAATAAAATAAGTGATTTATTGCTATTTCTCAGTAATTTCTTCTTATTATTATAAACCTTTCATACAATAGATATGATCACTTCGAAAACATTTTTAAAAAAGACGAGAAGAGGATCTGTCCTAAAAGTGGTTCGAGAACACTACTTGAGAGATGATATATGGTGTGGGTCGTCTTCTTGTGTTCAATGTTCTGATCCAAACCCTTCTTTGGAGAAACAGCCGAAGAGTTTCAGCACATTGTATACAGAACCGCACTACTTGATTCCAGATACTAATGTTGTTCTTCATCAGGTAGTACCCTTCCAAGCATATATATATAAAATCAGTAGTCGTTTTTTGAAATACTAACATATGCAGTAAGTGACAGGTTCATTCTATAAAATTCTACAAGTCAAATTTTCATTTCAACAAGTTAGTACGAGTTCCATGTTATTGGTAACATAATACAGGCATTAATGTAGCTTTTTCTTGGATATTAAATAAAAAGACCAATGTATTTAAAATCACAGAACCTTTATAAAATAAAACATTTGGGATCTAGTGTGAGTAGTTGCAAAGTTAAGATGACTGCCCAGTATTCTGAAGACCCCTTAGTCCGAAGGTTTTTGGTTTTTGCAATATAAGTTAAAATTGGATAACTAAATAAATTTGTACATCTATAATAGATTAATGCAATCTCAAATGAAAAGTTGAAAGGGTATATCTCGGGAAGAATTTGGGGCATCAGCTGTCCCTGATGGCTTGTTCTCACTTTAAATACAAACAACAGAAATATTTGGATCAACATTGTAGTGTACAGATCATTACATTGGCTCGGTGTCAAGATAATTTTACTGACTGGACTCCTTATTTTTGTGATGTAAAAAAATTATGCTTATAGGTTATAGGGTAGCTGCTTATGTTTTCTACATAGTCTACATTTTTCTGATGAAGCATTAGAATCTTTTAGTTTGAAATAGTTGCAATGGCTTCTATTGACATGTTGTAAGTGGAAGCCCGAAGCCGTATTGTTGCTGTCAAGTTTTGTAGGCCAGATTCTTTGCAGTAGGTGCCTGTGACTTGTTGGTAATAAATTTCAGAAATAAACAAACAGCAACACAGTCCACTTGTTTTAAAATAATATACTAAAACAAGTCAAACGTATATACAAATGTTCATTACACTGTTGGTTATCACTGTTGTATCCAGGGTTTTAAATAATAGTCTCTTTTTTTTTTTTCACCAAAGTCCACACAGGCTGAATAATTACTTGAGGTGTACACAAACCAAAGAGAGACTGAGTGCTCCAGCTTCAATACATAATCATTATGACACTACTATCAATATTGAAACTGTATGTAAGTTATTTACGGAAAAACACCCCAGAAAAAATAGAACATGCTAACATGTTATTTCAGTAGTGCATACATATACGTATATGATAGTCAGTGATTGAAATAGCTAATATACTATTGTTATACAGAGTTGTATAAATAAGTAATATAATTTAATAATTAATAACTACTCACCATGTAGATAGTACGGTACTTTACTATAATAAAACATACAACATATTTATGTTAATTTAAGTGTAACTCCCCATGCAGTGTCACAATATAATGATGATTTGTTGACTTTTCATTGGATGTTTGTGAATTTTATGTGAACAGCCATGCAATTGTTTAAGCTATATTTCATGCAAAATTGCTTCCAGATTTAATCTTATAACCCCTATTTTTTATAAATTTCCTGGGGAGTATGCCCCCAGACCCCCATAGCATTAGCATGTTTTGCATGCTGATTGTACTTCACACAATATGTGTTGGCTTTTAATCTCACAAATTAGAACCCTCTTTCAAACATTACGCGTAAGGGCCTGGTTGTGATAAATTTTGTATCTTCTACAAATGAAGAGTTATATCCACAAGAACCAAACTGTAATTTTAACTTTTCAGTCTCGTAACAATCATTTAATTTTGGTAGGTAATTTACTACATATACCTCGATAGATTGAAATTCAATGTATTATTGTCAATATTATGAAACCTTGGATACCTGTGTGCTATTTTTATATGTGATTGTTAAAGTTTTAAGTGTGTTTCTTTATAATAATTGATTTAATCATGAGTTGTACTGATATTAAATTAGATACAGTGATTGTTACTGATGATGTTAGGATACAGTGTACGTTACTGATGATGTTAGGATACAGTGTACGTTACTGATGATATTAATAAATACAGTGTATGTTACTGATGATGTTAATAGATACAGTGTACATTACTGATGATGTTAATAGATACAGTGTACATTACTGATGATGTTAATAGATACAGTGTACATTACTGATGATGTTAATAGATAGTGTATGTTACTGATGATGTTAATAGATACAGTGAATGTTACTGATGGTGTTAATAGATACAGTGTATGTTACTGATGATGTTAATAGATACAGTGTATGTTACTGATGATGTTAATAGATACAGTGTATGTTACTGATGATGTTAATAGATACAGTGTATGTTACTGATGATGTTAATAGATACAGTGTATGTTACTGATGATACAATTCTTTAAAACCTAAGTTAGTCTTCAAAGTCATTATCAAAATTATTATTACTATTTTTATATTATTATAGTAATTATTATAATTGTAGTAATTGTCCAAACCTTAGGGTGGGTTAATTACTAGATGTGTCACTATAGCATTAAAGAGTTTGGTAACCTAAAGTTTGATTAATGTCTGACAAATTGTGCATCGCTGAAGAATGTGAATGATCTTTAGTGATGTAATGAAAGTCTGATAACAGAAGTAATTTATACATTTTTCTCAACATACATTCATTGTAGGAAGTTTTGTCTTTCTTACTCAGTTGAGGGTGGCATGTTTGTATACACTTCATTATTAGCAAAAGATGTATAATACATTACATATAGTGTATTTCTGTCCAAGCTGGATATTTGGATATCATACTTACTTCATACCTCCCACCAGTTTCTCACAACTGTTATCCCATCATCTTTTTTGTTTTTGGAACTTAAATATTGTTTTGTTTTAATTTTTAGTCTTCAAAACTAGCTGAAAAGTACCTCTTAGTTAATTAGTAGTCTGAATTTCAATATATAGGTGCAAAGATTTGAAACTATACAGATGTTGATATCTCTATAATATCAGATCTTTAGTCTAAGAGCTGTAATATTAATACTCAATTTTTCTTGTTAACAGATGGATGTTTTAGAAGATCCAGTATTTCAGAATGTCATCATTTTACAGACTGTGCTACAAGAAGTACGTCACCGTCACTCCCCTATTTACGGTCGAATCAAAGAAGTTCTGACTAATAAAGAAAGACACTTCCATTCATTTACCAATGAACATCACAAGTTAGTATGAACTCCATATTGTACTGAGTCAACGAAATCTGGGGAAATATCAATTACATTTGTTTTAAAATGTTAAACTTTTTCATAAATCAATGAAAACATGACAATAAGTGTGTAAAAGTGAGAAAATTTTAAATTTGACAGAATGTAGCTTTTATTTCTTTTCGAGGTATAATAAGCCCTATGCTTTAACTTATGTGATCGAAGCCATTAGTTTACCCTAATGAGATTTTATAATTAAATCAACTTTATTTTTGGTTTCAAATCTTAACATACATTAAATGTAAAAAGTTTTCTCTTTCCTTCTCAGTTGAAAGTCACGGGTCTATATTCTTACATACATTAAATGTAAAAAGCTTTCTCTTTCCTTCTCAGTTGAAAGTCACAGGTCTATATTCTTACATACATTAAATGTAAAAAGCTTTCTCTTTCCTTCTCAGTTGAAAGTCACGGGTCTATATTCTTTGAATATGGTTAATTATAGAGCTATAGTATAGGTAAATGTAGTTTGTTCCTATCCAATCTTGTATAAAGAAAATGGCATTTTTTATCTTTATTTGATCAAACTGAATGTAAATATTTTCAACACCTGCCACACGAGTCAACCCAGCATCTTTTAGTACTGAGCCTAGGATGGTTTACAGGGGCGTCATTCTGAAAACTGGGGACACTAAAATGAAAACAACAACTAAATGTTAATTAAAATATGACATGATGAAATTTATATGGATTATACTATGGTGGTACCATACTGGGCATTATACCATCCTTATAATATGTACTCTTCATTGTAGAAATGACATTTTTAATTTGAGAATCGCTAGGGAAATCATCTTTTAATGCAACTGCTTCAACTTAAACACTGCATCTTTGGACTTTACTGTGCCGTTAGTGTCACAAAATATTGAAACTAATTGATTCTAATTCCCGTTTTGAAGTTAACGATACTATTGTGCCTGTTTTTTTATGTTTTGCTGTCAATGCAGTAATCAATTAATGAATCTTCGATTCAACTAATACGTCAAATCAATTGGAATATTTTCTAATAAGTTTTTCCCTCATTCGACCTGGACCCACGGTTTAGCTTAATCGCTACACTTAAACCATCACATTCACAAACACATCTAGAACATTTCAAGCATGTTTCATTGCTACATCATATTACTTTACATCTACAAGTTAACTTCTCCATGTTGGCTTTCATGGTCTCAGATCTGGTCCAGCGACCTAGACCTCGAAGATGGTGCCAAATGTCTTCTTTTTTGTCTAATAAAAACAACCCAAACCTTTCTGGAATGACTAATTTTTTTTGTATCCACGTCAAGATGCCGGGCTAGCTCGTGTGGCAGGTGTTAAACATATAGAAATGTAATGTTATAATACATCTTATATTCAAAAAGGTAAAATTAGAAAATGCTACAATAGATTATAGTATGCCATGTGTTTCATTGTTTATAAATATGTATTAATTATCTGCATGCTCTTTAGAAAGTTATGTTAAATAAAATATAGGAAAGTTGACCAATGACAAAAGCAATATGAAATTTAGGAAAGAGTTCCATATGGCACCCCCACCCAAAAATTGTAGAATTGCCTGGATAAAAAAGATTCTGAAAAGGGTTTATTTTAAGGGGCATATTAGAAAAATTGGGGCATGGCTAATAGAGAATCGGTGGTGGTGTGTCAAAAGACAACTACCAACTACACATACCAGGGCAAAGACATTTGTGTGAATACATGTGGAG